ACCCTAAATGTACGATATTTCTATTTAATACACAAAGGTATATTAGGAAAAATAAAATTAAACTGATAATGCCATCATAGTACAAGAGGTTATGCACAATTTTAGGAGAAAAAAAGGTGCTCAGGCTTCTTTTCTACTCAAATTGGACCTAGAAAAAGCATTTGACAAACTTGAATGAGGCTTTATACATGATACTCTACACTACTTCAACTTCCCAGCAAGGCTAATTAAACTGATAATGTCTTGTATAACCACTTCTTCAATCTCCATTTTAATTAATGGCCAACCCACCCCTTTCTTCTCACCTTCAAGAGGTATTCACCAAGGAGACCCCCGCTCACCTTACATCTTCATACTATGTATGGAAATGCTCTCACGAAAGATACATATTGAAGTAGATTACCTTAAGTGGCACCCTATCAAATTATCTAACCAAGGTCCACCAATCTCTCATCTACTCTTCGCTGATGATATAACTCTAACATAAAAAATTACCAATAAGATCTTCAACTCAATAATTGACACCCTAAACCAGTTTAATAGTGTCGGGTTTAACTATTAATTATACCAAATCAAAAATCTTTATCTTCATAAACACATCCAAAGAAGATAGAGAAAGTGTGACCACTTCTTTCCATATGACTGAGGGGTCAACTTTCGGCAAATATCTAGGTTATCCTATATTCACTAAAAACCCACTAAATGCAATTTTTAATTCTTACTAGATAATTATAAAAATAAATTAGCAGGGTGGAAAATAAATTTTCTAACAATAGTAGGACGAACTACTTTGAGTAAAGCTACCCTACACTATTTGCCAAACCATGTAATGCAACTAATAAAAATACCCACTAATATTATTAACAAGCTAGAAAGATATCAACGAAATTTTCTTTGGGGCACCACACCCCAGAAACGAAAGTTACACCTAATTAAATGGGAAACTATCCAATTAACTATAGAGAGTGGTGGATTGGGAATCCCTAACCTCACATACAAAAATAATGCCTTATTGAGAGCTCTAGCTTGGCAATTGTTCCAATCACCTTCATCACACTGGGCTACAATATTCCTATCAAAGTATTTACGAACTATTACTACTACAAATACATCCTCCAATTGGAAAGCTATAACACAAGGTTGGGCTTCATGTCAACTTGGCATTAAGTGGCACACTACTAATGGACAACACATAAATATTTGGACTGTTCCTTGGTTAGACACTAATTTGATCGTCAGGGAAGTTATTGAAGGACCCCTACCCTGTAATGAGCAAGCTTCCACATCATCACTATATATTGCGGTGAATTCAATAATTATCCCAAAAATATCCTTTAATCTCCCAACTCATCTAAAGGATCTAATTGCAAATCAATATATCACTACCATCACAAACACAAATTCCTTTGACCACATATAGTGGGTTCTAACCCCAAAGAGAATCTTCACGGTCAAATCTCTTTATAAAAAATTACACTATCATTTACCAACCAACTCATCTCAATAGATATAGCCTCCAATTACCCCAAAAACTAAAACATTTCCTTTGGCTCATGAGTCATCATCGGCTGCCCACATCCAGCTATACCCAATATCCACATCTCACAAAATGCAAATTGCCCAATTTGTCACTTACATGAAGAAACCATAAGCCATCTTTTCTTCCAATGCCACCACACACAAATGTTTTGGCACCAATTAGGAATTAACTAACTGGATGCCAACTTACATAGGTTTCATGACAACACCTCTTATAAACTGTCATAATTCGTTTTAAAAACAAATACCAACACTACTCAAATTCCTCCCCACATTTTAATTCCTTATGCTCTATGGCACCTTGGAAGACTAGGAACCGTACTATTTTGAAGGAAAATATAAAGCCCTAATCTATAGCATATCATTAGCCAAGCCACTGAATATTTCTGCCTAGGTCTCAACAATCCTATCACCTTCCGACAAATTGCACACATGCACGTCAAATGGAACCCTCCTAATAATGGTTACTTTAAACTAAATTGTGACGGAACTTGTAGTCTAACACATCAAAAACGAGGGTTTGGGGGAGTAATTAGAGACTCAACAGGTAAATGGTTGATAGGGTATACGGATACAAGGTCAATGGGAAACCCAAATCATATGGAACTTACTGGCCTGCAGGATGGGTTACGACTTGCTCTACAACATAATTTCACACTACTGGAGGTCAATGTGGATTCAACTGAGGTAATTTCTTACTCCACTCTCAGAATTCACACTACTCATCCTTGACTAATGAATGCAAGTATCTCCTAGAACAACTGAGTAGTCCTTGGGTGACACACATTTACAGGGAGCAAAATCAAGTCGCAAACCAACTGGAAAAACATGGGGAAACCCTTCCTCAAAATGCCAACACTACTGAATTTTTGGAACCACCTACTTTTGTAATTCACGTGTTGACAGAAGACCAACGGGGAACACTCCACAAGCCCACAACAACCACTACCATGCAACACCCCTCATTTTGTTTAAATATGTTGTCAAACTCTTGTAGTAGTAACTATGGCAATTCAGTACAAATTGGTACCAGTGAACTCCATCCTTTTTGTACCACTGTACCAAATCCTGCTCCTTGTAATGTTCACTAATATATGAAATATGCATATTTGTTGACCAAAAAAAAAATATTAACAAAACTACAGAAAAAAGGAAAAATAAAGAACATTAACTTACACCATGATTACTGAAGTAATCCTCGTGAAGTTCTTTAAATTTAGGCTCTCCCAAAGATTGATAACGTAACATCCTGGGAACCTGAGCGAGATCAAGGTAGTCGTCATCTTTTAAATACTTGTCCCGAATATATGGGAAGTACTCATAGAACCAAACACATAATGGATATGGAAATCCGCCTACAATATACTCAGTTGGATTATTTTTGTCCTTGTTGTCTAAAGCATGTTTTATTGAGGTAATAAGCTTCTCATAAGACACATTACCCCAAGGATAATTAAGACAAGCCTCATCGTCTTCAACAATAGCTGCATACTCCTCCAACAAAATTGATTCATTCTTTCTTCCAAACAAAATAGACTCCACAATAAAAATTTCCATAAGCTTCACAACAGCTTCATCACTCTTGCATACGTGTTTGAAATTCACATCATCCTTTTTAATTTGATTTTGTATCATATAATCTCGAATGTCCTTCGAGATCACACCCTTAGACTTCCCAAAATAGCGCTTCAGAATCTTACTCTCTTGTTTAATTGGTTTTTCAACATTATGTGTTGTGATCCTCAAACCGAATATAAAGTGAAAGTCTTCAAGGCTGAACGACACATCACAGGAAAAAATCTTGAAACTAATGGAATCTCGATCATTGGTGAATATGCGAGAAAGAATCAAACAATGAACCAACTTCATACTGCAATGGAAATTCTCCATAGCCAAGATATACCGAATGTACCATTATTCAGTTTTTCCTGTTGTGCAAAAGTCAAGAAAGTTACAATTAAACCCTTCAAATAGTGGTTCCCCTTCCAGTAAGCACGACAGTTAAACCAATCTCGAAACTCATATTATCTCTCCCCTAGTTTTATATGTACAACAACAGGGATTGAAAGAGATTTACGTATTCTAGGTGCTTTAGGTGTTTTAGGATCTTTAGGTGCTTTGGATTTTGTAGATGCCATCAAGTCAAAAAAATTAAAGGTGGAAAAATAACTTCAGAACATTATCAAAATATCATTTAAAACTTCAACACAATTTGGCTTAAGTTATATTTTAAAGCCCTCTAACTTCAAAGAAATACATGATAAAACTTTAGCTCTAAGAATGCTGAAGTTCAGCAAATATAGAACAAAATTTCAGCTCCAGCAATTATTGAACAAAAACTTCAGCCAAAACATGCTGTAGTTTTACAAATACAGAAGACAACTTCAACTCCAATAATACAGAAGTTCATCAGAAACAAAACAAAAACTGCGGACAAAACATACTTTACTTCTACAAAACACAAAACAAAAACTCCTAGAATTAAGTTTTCCTTGAAGTATTATAAACTTCACACTTTAATAACATCATCTATTTGAGTCTCAAAAATTTTAAAAATTTCAACGTCTCCAACAATCACTGAAGAATATATAGAATTTTCATCAAAAACACAAATACAGTTTAAAAAAACCTAAAAATACTAATCGTAAAAGTGAAACCTACAAACTAATGCACTAATCAAAGTAAAACCTAGGAAATTAGTTTAGCACAAATAAAAAAAAAAAAAGAAAACGATTCAACTAAGATTACTATCAACAAAAAAACCAAGAAATTAAATCATAAAACTAATCCTAAAATCCCATACAATGTTAAAGCAGTGTACAAAAGCAACCATTAAAATCGTACCTATGATTATACTTAATTTTGTTGGAGAAGAAACAACTGCTAATCAAGCAGAATGCAATGGCGAAAACCGTTTGATTTCAGAAAATAATCAAAAAGCGCGAAGAAGGATAGAGAGACAGAGACAAGAGATAATATGTCATATATTTGGAGAGAAAGTAGTCTTTTAATAAAGAAGGGCAAAATCGTCTTTTTTTAAAACGCTTTTAACAGTAAAACAGGTACATATGCAAATGGAAAAACAAAACGGGTACAAGTTAAAAATTGAATAGGGCGCCCCATTCAATTTTTACACTTTTACTAACTTGGACTTAAGACAGTGTGTCAACAAAACCAACTAATAAATCGAATAGAGATAATGGATTGTATATGGAGAGATGTAGCATAAAATACGAAAAGAGGAGAAGAGAGAAAAAAAGGAAAAGTATGTAACTGAATCACCTAATTTAAGACACTAATAATGGATTGTATATAAATTATAAGCAATACTTGTTTAGGGCGGGTAATATAGGAAATTATCAATTTTGGTAAATAAATTTTAAATATTGTACAGAAACTAAAAATCCTTTTCAATACGACATGAATAATTGAATACATATAACCGGACTAAAATTATGTGGGTTTTGCCCTCGCAGGTTCGAATCAAGCTGCACACGCTTCAAACTTCAATTTTCCTCTTTTTCTTTTTTTAATCTCCGATTTTCTCTCTCCGATCGTCTCAGATTTCAGCTCCTGGAGCGGTTTCGTCCTTCGGTCAGTTATGACCAACGAAAACGGTTCTGGTGCAAGTGGAAGTTGAGTACGGTTCTTGTGCTTTTGGTCTCCCCTCGGCTGGGATTTGGAGGGATCTGTCGACAGAGCTCCACAATCTCTGCAGTCTGATGCCATCATAAACCCAAACCCTTTGCAACTTTCTACATTTTGCTCAATTTTAATGGCATCAACTAGCAAAATGCCTAGCACTTCTGAGGATGATCTAGAAGAGGAGGTATTTTTCCTGTGGCTGGTACATTTGTTTTTTTAACTATCATTGTTAACAGCACTATAATATTTAGTCGAAGAAATCATGATGTCAGGCACAACATCAGAGAGCTACATAGTATCAAGATATTGTTAGATCGACAATAATGTTGCAAGGCCTGTTCAGTTTTCTTAAAAGTACTTTACTATTACAAAGTAAGGGTGTGTTTGGTATAACGGAAAATGTTTTCCGTGGAAAATATTTTCTTGGAAAACATGTAGTAATTTTATTAATTTTCCGGGGTTCGGTACGCAAATTAAGGAAAATAATTTATCAAGAGTATTCATAAATAATTTAGATACAATAAACATGAAACCATAAACTTTCGAACCAACAGTCTTCCGAACCCACAAATTTTATAAACTTCCGAACCGCTAAACTTTCGAACCCGTAAACTTTATAATTTCTAAACCCGTAAACTTCCAAACACATAAACCTCCGAACTCATAACTTTGGAACTTGTAAAATTTCGAACCTGTAAATTGAAAGATAAAAAAAACTTTTTTTGGGGGGGGGCAGTTTGGGGGTGAGGGTGTGCACAAAAACAAAAAAACAAAAATTTGAAAATTACAAAAAAAAAGAAGTAAAAAAACCCCTTTTTAGTCCGGGGGTGGGGGGGGGTGGGTGTGGGTTTGGCGGGTGGGATGGGTGGAGAGGGGTGGGGTGGGAGGGGGTTGGGTGATAGTAAGGTGGGTGGTGACGGAAATAAAAATTGAAATTTGAAACAAAAGCCTTTTTGGAGAGAGGAGGTGTGGGTAGGCGTGGGTGGGTGTGAGGGCATCGGGTGGGTTGGTGAGGGTGGAGAATAGGCTGGGTAAGGTTGAGAAGAGTTTTGGAAAATATTTTCCCTTCTCTTGATAAGGAAAACATGGAAAATGAGTTCATAAGGAAAATATTTTCCAAAACATTTAAGCCAACTAAACATGGGAAAAAGTGGAAAATATTTTCCGAAAAATATTTTCCTTCGTACCAAACACACCCTAAATCATCTATTCAACCAAAAGCTTACACTCAATTGAAATACAAACTCAAATAAAATAAGCACCAAATAAATGCAACTCAGAACATGTAGATTACATGGTAGGTCGAGATTTCTGAACTTCAAATTAGGCGTTTCTATGATTTCAGAAATTTTCATGAGAGCTTCTGTTGTGGTCGTAATGTTGTTGAAGTTTTGTCTATGTAAAGCTCACTTTTATATCCTTCTCAAATATAATAATTCTGGTTGTCCTTGTGGTTGTAGCGGCATGCAACCTACAATAACACTATCAGTATTTAAGCATTATAGCACTATTCAACTCCCAAATGTATTTGAAGACAGATTACAAACGAACATGTAAATATGAGAAACACTATAAATAATATTGTATTTCAAGTCACTGCTCCTACAAATCATGACAATTCTTGATCATAGCCATGATACTCCTCCAGGACTCACGACGGTAATCTCATTTCATACTCATGCCATTACAAATTTGTAGTGGTTGTGTTGTATGCTCCGAAAACCATACAGGTTTGAGCTTCCTTGAGGTTATCACCTTCTTTGCAAGTCTCTCCCTCTTTCCTTATACAATAATCAAAGCATGCTGAACAAAGTTTAAGAAAGTTGGACTGAAGAGATTATCAATCAACAAAATAAAATCAACAAAAAGTGGAAAAAGAGGTCAATGAGAGACTCTGAATCTGTTTTAAAGGCTATTGTGCTTATACATAATAATTTTGGATCTAATGGTCGGTGCACTATTTTCAGTCTGTAAAATATTCTACAGTTCTTCTATTTGCTCTACTTTAGCTTCCACAATATCTGAAATTTGATAAAACATTCCAGAAACAAAAGAGATACAAAACTCAAGTCCCACAAATCAGAATAAAGGACGTCAACAAGAACATCAAATATGCAAATAAAATATCCTTTATGTGCAAGGAGAAAACGAAGAACGACAAGTCATTAAAGACATCTTTTGTTTTAGCCAAATAAACAAACGCATACCTTTTTCAAGTCAGCTAATATCAAAGAACTTCCACTTATTCATGTGACCGAAGCTCGTCGTTAGTAGGCAAAAGCCCTTCACTTCAAAACAATCAATCAGGACTGACGCCATCTTCGCTTCTTCTGATTATTGAAAGTGAACGTTAAAGCTTTGAAGCTAATCTTCAAGCATTCCTTTGAAGTTTCCTCTAAATTCAGCTAATCAAATATAATTTTTATTCCCAAATGCTCCAAAAAAGAATCTGACAACAGTCCTAGGCAATAGGGCACTAAATCTCTCCATATAAAATACAAAGAGAACGACACCTATTTGCGAGAAAGAAAAGTCTCATATATTTCTAACATCCATCTAAAATTCTATTGTGGATATTAACTTATCTTTTCATCAATCATCTTAATATATGATATGTACTCAAGCAGGTTAGCAGACACATTTCATCTAAACAATACTACTCATAAAGTGATATGTACAAGTATTATTTGTTCAAAAGAATGAAAAGTTCTTCCAACTGTTAGCAATAACTACTGCATCCAATCTTTCTTGCAGCTTGGTTGAACATTAGCATACCTTGCTATAGCAAATTACAAAAGGTAAACATATCTTTGCCATAAAAAGAAGTCCTTGCCCTTCTGTTCTTATTATAGAAATTAAATAAGTTAAAGCTTGATGCAAAGCTCAGTACATAGAAATTAGTTATTCCACTCTTGAGATATCAATCAAGAAACAGGAACATTGTACACTGATTCTTCAGCTTTTAAACTCCAATAGCAAAGCATGAAGACAGACAGAGACAACCCTAGTTGTAGCCAGAACTATAACTTTTGACCATATTTTAGCTCAGTACAAAGTGATCCTTATATGAATAGATATGTAGAGAGCATATGACAGCATACAGAGAAATTACTCTCCCACATAAGTACTCCAAAAACAACTGATAATAGATCCCATCTTGCATGCAATTTAGTTGGGTAATGGAAATTATAAAATAATAAGACAAAAAGGAAAGAGCTACCAACACAATTCAAGAATTGACTTCAAAACTAAGGTGTTAAAGAGCCGTCAAGGCGTCAAAAAATCACCACTGTTTTTTTCCCTTCCTTTTGATTGGTAAAGACAATCACACAGTTAATAAATCCTCATCCATGCAAATCATTACGATATATGAGAAAAAAACAGATAAAAGAGTGAAATTTTTCATCAAATGCGAAGAGTATAAAATAAGTGGCAAAGACAGAGTGTGACATTCATCGAGAGAGCAGCTTCACCAGAAATATTGAGAATGAAATGTTACTGAAATAAATTGATGAAGCATCCCGCAAGCAAGGGACGAAATATCAGAAGGCAGATTCAGGGTTTCAACTAATTCCTTGTTATTTTGTTCCAAGGCAATTAAGAAAGCAATTTTGTAGATTCAATGTCAAAATCAAATAACATAAGTGTTGTATGAAAACTGTTTTCAGCTTCGTATCAACATACAAAGTTAATAATCGCTCAGAAATTCAACTATCCACCGAAAGGAAAATTCATACCCGGATGGAAAAATCACTTTTAAATAGACCCGAAAGAGGAAAAAAAGAAAAGAAAAATCACCTGGCATCCAAATAGCATAACCCAGACAAGTTACCCAAAAGAAGAAAAAATGAAGTTGAGACAGTAATCAAAAGTGTCAGAAAATATCGTACCTTATGGAGTTAGCGGAGAAGCAACAAATATCGTTTATGGAATTGAAAGAGGAAGAAGGAAAATCTCCAAAGCAGTATTAATCTTACGGTTCAGTACTACAGAGCAAGCGAACACGGGTTGGGGGAAGAGGAGAGAAGCTTTGTTCGTTCGGTGTCCGGTCAAATGACTAACTCAAAATGTGCTTCTCTATGCTACATGGTTGTTATGTGGGAGAATGATAGATGGGTGCACTTTAGTAGATGAAAAGTCTAATACGTCCCTAATTTCAAATTTATTGACATGAAAGCAGACATGTCAAAACTTAAGATCTTCTATATAATATAATATATAAATTATTGTTCTTCTTTATTCCTCTCACCGCCACATCCGAGGAGAGGTGCCGTGGTGCATGTTATTTGTAGATGATATTGTTTTGATTGACGAGACGCGAGACGGTGTTGACGCGAGGTTAGAGGTGTGGGGACAGACCCTGGAGTCTAAAGGTTTCAAGCTGAGCAGAACCAAGACAGAATTTGGAGTGTAAGTTTAGTGGTGCTACTCAGGGAGTTGAAGTGGAAGTGAGTCTGGATTCACAAGTCATCCCTAGGAAGAGAAGTTTTAAGTATCTTGGGTCTATTATACAGGGGGATGAGGAGATTGATGAAGATGTCACACATCGTATTGGGGCGGGATGGATGAAGTGGAGGCTTGCTTCCGGTGTTTTGTGTGACAAGAAGGTACCACCAAAACTTAAAGGTATGTTTTACAGAGCGGTGGTCAGACCGACTATGTTGTATGGGGCGGAGTGTTGGCCAGTCAAGAGCTCCCACGTCCAGAAGATGAAGGTAGCAGAGATAAGGATGTTGAGATGGATGTGCATTGTGCGGGCACACCAGATTAGATAGGATTAGGAATGAAGTTATTAGGGACAAGGTGGGTGTGGCCCCTATTGAGGACAAGATGCGGGAAGCACGAATTAGATGGTTTGGACATGTGAGGAGGAGAAACATAGATGCCCCAGTAAGGAGGTGTGAGAGGTTGACATTGGAGGGCCTCAGGAGAGGTAGAGCTAGGCCGAAGAAGAGTTGGGGTGAGGTGATTAGGCATGACATGGCGCAGCTACAGCTGACCGAGGACATGACCCGTGATAGGAAGGTGTGGAGGTCGAAGATTAGGATAGTAGGTTAGGTAGTCTAGATTATTCATATCGGTAGTGTTAGTACGTACTCTCGCATTAGCTTTTTTCATTTCGATCATCTTACTATCTTGTTATGTATGCTGCTTTTACATGGTTTTTTGGTGTTGACCTGTCTTGTTTCTTGTTATTATTGGGGAACCTATGCTTGCCTAAGCCGAGGTCTATTGGAAACAACCTCTCTACCTCCACAAGGTAGGGGTAAGGTCTGCGTACACACTACCCTCCCCAGACCCTACTATGTGGGATTATACTGGGTATGTTGTTGTTGTTTCCTCTCACCCAAAAGGTCAATTCATTTGAATTTCACGTCCGTTTTCTTTGTAATTTGAAGCTATCAAGGAGAAACGGATGAAATCAATAGTTTGGTATTCGTATTATGTAGCTAAATATCACCTTCTAAATCACGTGAAAATTGTTTTATGCTTTAACAGTTAACGAGCAACATTATGAAACATTCCTGTCTATGAACTCGCAAATTGAAATAAGAGGGAAGAAATTAAGTGACTAATTTTTTCTTTCTTTCTATTTAGACTTTCGGATTTGGTCTTTGTTCAAGGCACATGAATTATAACTGACCTGGTGGATGGTGGTTCTCATATTTCTTATTGTTGTTTCATATGCAGTTTGAACATTTTGATGATTTCACCCTTGCCTCTTCTTGGGAAAGGTATTTTTTTCAACCATAGCAACTCACTGCATTTTCTTATGGTATCCTCAACTTATGTGCAGCGTTTTAGTATCATAGGAGCCGAAGAAACTAAAGTTACTAATATTCTATATCACAGGTTCATTTCTGAGATAGAGGCAGTATGCAGGAAATGGTTGGCTGATGGCACGAAGAATTTGTTGGTATGAATGTTTTGTTTATTCACCTCATCTTTACTGGAAAAGAACTTGTGATTTCATTAATGATTTAACCTTTTTGAACGACATGCATGCCCAATGGAAATGATCATTTTACACATTGACTAAAAATTTATCATTTTGACTGTGTATTTGACTGACTACTAACTTTCATTCGTACATTTGACGGAAAGAGGTCAAGATTTGGTTGAGAATTCTATATCTTAGTTTGCTATTACCAGAAGTAGAAGTTCTCGCTCTGTCCATCTTTCAAGAGATTGTGATGGCTGTAGTTGAATGTTGATACCATATTCATTAGCGTGGTCCCCAAATAAACCTGATAAGGGACTGGTTTTGATTTTCCATTTGAAAGATTGAGTAATAGGTCGAATAATAGGTGTGGCGGATACTTGAGTAAAAAAAAAGATTTGCTTACTAAAGTCTTCTATTTAGTTTAGGTCGTTCCACAAAGATTTGCTACTAGCCTGTCTTTTGGAAAGGCTATTTAAAAAGAATTTGAGCTTCAACCTCAACCTATACCTATAAAGAAGTGCTAGGTGTGATCGTTCATCATTGTTGAAGTGCCAAACCTAAGTGAATGTCAACAAGGTCGAAAGCACTTGCCATTACTTTTGAAGGAGTAATGGCTCCCTAAAAATCATCTGCTTTTAGTTTTGTCCTATACTTATAAGATGCTGGAATAGTTTATTAGATGTTTCAGGTTTATCATCTCTAATGTTTGTAATATTTATGATTTTTTCCGGAAACTAATATATAGTCACTAGCTATTCCACTTATCAAAAACAAATTATTAGCCAACATGGTATGTGGTTTTGTGCGGGATAATTTGCTGTTTATATCTCTTAATAGATTCTGTGACAATTGTTTTATTTCTGTCAATAAGTGGTTCCTTTAGAGGAAAAAAACAAGTAGTTCCTTGATGGTTTATTTCTCTGAGTGGAATCTTTTGGTCGAAGTATGAAGGAAAAGATTCTCTTATTGCTTGTCTTGATTCCTTGCTTCTATTTTTTTTTGCAAATTATGTGATGGTAGAAAAAGGACGCTATCTGCTTGAATATCTCTGAGGGCCTATATAAAGCTGACCTGAAGTATGAGATGAAAAGCTATTGCATGGAGTACTATTTTGGAACAGTTAATGATGGTACGTAAATAAGTCTACTTTGAAATTAAAACTGAAAATGTTTCCTTCTTTTTTCTCGGGACTGCCTAACAAATATCCAAAAATTTAGTTGTGCCAGGAAAAGGAAATGACTGGAGTTGTGTACTGCATGATCTGCAGCTGTTTTTTGGGGTGAATGAGTTCCTGGTATCTCTATCTCTTATAAAAAAAAAGTTCCTGGTATCTCTATCTCTTATAAAAAAAAAGTTCCTGGTATCTCTATCTCTTCCCCTAACACGTGGCACAAAGAGGATGAGACATCTGTTGTATGTTTAGCACCTTGATCTGGGTTATTATGTTTAACTTTCTTTTCCAAAATTGAATGCATGTCTCTAGGTGATTGCTCCTCAAAGTGCCAGTGGTGTGGTTCTTGATGGACCAGAGGCCAGCAAACTTCTAAGTGCAGTTGCTATTGCCTTGTCCAACTGTTCCAGGTATGGTTGTCAGTTGCAAACTTCTTTTTATATCAACCTGTAGGATCTATACCTTTTAGTAATTGAACCGAAGTACTAGTCTTCTTCAAAATCACTCAAAGGATTAATCTGTCTTTTTCAAAATCAAAGTGAGATTTTGATGGTGAACTAACATGCTTTGTCAAGGTTTCTCTTCATAATTTAAGTGCAATAGAGTAGAAGCTAGCTAACCTTGCTCAATTTTAAGCAAAATCTTGGTAGAAATAAATGGGCCCTAAATGAAAGAGAAGTTGACAGAGTATCCATTATTGAGAGAACAACATATAATTTGTGACATATTGTAATGTGAAGTATATAAAGTTGGTTATTCAGAATCATAGAAGTTGAGAAATTGAGAAAGATGTGAAGATAATGGCTACATATTTTATTTTCATACATCCAGGGCTTTGGTCTATTGGTAGAGCACAATGCGTGATGTGTGGATTAGGTGCACGTTGTTATGGTCACGCAGAATGGATCTTGTCACAGGGCGATTCATTGGAAAGTCTGTGTTGAACAGATCCTTTCCCTTGTTTCTATTCCGTGAGCGACCTATTTTGATAACAATAAATAAGCTCGTTAAAGGGAGCCTATAACCTTAGAACTCGTTAGAGAGAGTCCCAGATCTCTTGTTTTTTAATATAAATCTTGCCTACCTTTCTTTATTCCTTCTGTATCTTTAAATAGAGTCTTATTACAAAGCTATTAAACATAACTAGGAGTCTACAGATATAAGAAATCTACTAAACTAAGAATTCTAGTAAAATTAAACTACTGACTAAACTAAGAATTCTACTAAACTAAGAATTCTACTAAACTAAGAATTCTACTAAACTACGGATGAGTCTGTAACATTACCCCCCTCCTCTTTAAAGAGCTTGTCCTCAAGCTCGAAGTCTGGATAAGCATTACGAAAATGTTCAGCATCCTGATCAGCAAGTTCCAACCAAAATAGCTTCTTACATTGATGCCCAATCGAATACAATTCATCACAATTATAACACAATCCCTTTGCCCTTCTCTCTGCCATTTCAGCTCGTGACAACTTCTTTATGAAAGGAGCAGATGAACTTACCAACTTTGGTTCAGTAATACCACCAGGTGCATTGCTGCCCTTTGGAGCTGGAATTGTTGAACTTGTAGTAGTACTGAAATAGCCTTTAGTCCCTTGCCAAGTCTCACTTTGAGAAGATGTCGCCCGCACCAACTTCTGTTTCTTTTCAAAAGCTCGAGCTATATTCATGGCATGAACCAAATCTGGTGGACTACGCATTTCAACATCAAGCCGAATGGAATCGATCAGCCCGGCAGTGAAAAGACTAACTTGCTGGTCAACACGAACACACTTACTGGCCCTAGCTAACCGTTCTTGAAATTGGCGCTGATATTCTTCAATTGAGCCTGTTTGCTTAAGGTTAACCAGATCACCTAGTGGATTACTGCCCAGTGGAGGCCCAAACCTGAGAGCACAATATTCTTTGAATTCAGACCAATCAACAGAGGGATACTCTTGTTCCACTTGATGATACCATAACTGTGCCTCACCTAGAAGATGGAATGCTGCCAATTCCACCTTATCTACTTCATTTGTTCTCTGATTGGAGAAGAATTTCTCACAACTGTGTAGCCAAATCAATGGGTCTTCAGATCCGTCAAAAGTAGGAAAATCCAGCTTTGTGTACCTTGGTACTACACTATTTCCTGTCAGCTGATTAGGCCGATTCTTTGGTCTGTAGGGTTGGTTGCCTACATTGCTGCTCGCTCCAGCATCAGAATCCTTTCCTTGATTTTTGTTAAACCCAACAATGAACTCCTGCAATTGTAACGATAATTGTTGCAGCTGATTAACCATCCTTGATTCAGATTGTGCCACTGCTTCTGTTATTCGTGCTTCGTTGGCAGCCTGCGCCTCTTGAAGGAGAGCCTGTAACTCTTCACGTTTGCTTGGATCGCCCATAGTGTTTGGCTCTGATACCAAGTTGTTATGGTCACGCAGAATGGATCTTGTCACAGGGCGATTCACTGGAAAGTCTGTGTTGAACAGATCCTTTCCCTTGTTTCTATTCCGTGAGCGACCTATTTTGATAACAATAGATAAGCTCGTTAAAGGGAGCCTATAACCTTAGAACTCGTTAGAGAGAGTCCCAGATCTCTTCTTTTTTAATATAAATCTTGCCTACCTTTCTTTATTCCTTCTGTCTCTTTAAATAGAGTCTTATTACAAAGCTATTAAGCATAACTAGGAGTCTACAGATATAAGAAATCTACTAAACTAAGAATTCTAGTAAAATTAAACTACTGACTAAACTAAGAATTCTACTAAACTACGGATGAGTCTGTAACACACGTCATGGTTTGAAATGTGCCACAGACAAAATCCTGTGATGAATGGTAGATGGGTGAGCCCATTATCCATTGAGTTTCGAAGCGTGTGCCAGTTTGCCCTTGGGATTTATCGGTTGTTCCAAAAAAAAAAGAAAATCTTTCATCCTCCGGCAAGCAGCATGGCACATTAGCTGTTAGTCTGTTACAAGAGTCCTTGAATTTCTTTAGACTTCTTTCTGCAAAAGGCCAATATAACTGAATGGAGAAAAGTCGGCATATTTTGGAAGCTCTGTAAATTGCAAGGATAGGTTTTTTGTCTTTTATTTTGCTCTTCTTCTGTACATATGATTTTGGCACTGTTTTTATGCATTGATATATAAAACTTGTTACCATACTCAAAAAAAAAAAAAAAAAGAAGAAAAGTCAGCATAATATCTATATCACTTGAAACTTTTACTAAGAAATATGTAGCATTCACTCTTTGGCAAGAGAAGCGTCCTGCCACTTATATAAAAAAATGAACTTTTGCAAATATGTAGGAGTTAGCTACACCCTGTAATTGAAAATCTGCAGAGATAACAAGCACGACCACTGAAAATAACCACCTTGTTGAAGCTAAGGTATAAATCTCTACCATATTAAGCTAACTTCTGTCGAATTTCTAATGTGCTGCTCTAAAGTAGAGATCATGCTTGTATTTGGCTTCTTCAGCAGATGGTAATGCTCATCTCTATGTATGTTACATTTCTTTCCTTTCTGTAATGAATAATATAGTACACTTTTGATCTTTTTCACCCTTTGCTCCCTGCAGTTTGTGGCCAGCATTCGTTCCAGTGCATGATCCTTCTCGTAAAGCTTACATTGGTATTCAGAATATGGGAACCCTTTTCACCAGGCGATTTGAGGCTGACCGTATAGGTAGCCAAGTGCCGGTGAAGCTTATGCATTTGGAGGGATTGTATGAGCTATTTGTTTCTAAATTTGTAAGTTCTCCATTCAGATTGAATATTCTCAAGTAGTTTTATAGCTTATGATGGCTTAGTGGTCTTGCAGATCTTGATGACTTGCCCTATTGCCTAAGCTGGAATACTATAAAACTCCATGCATGATGTTTGTTAGCTCCTTTTGAAATGTTACCATTGCTTTGCCTAGACCTTTGTGCTTTATTGTTGTTGTCACACAGTGTTTGACATTTTGGATCATGAGAGCAACATGCCTAGTTCCTGCTTTAATACATGTCACTGGCTATTGACATTTTGGATTATGTGAGAGCAGCATATTTGATTCACGTCAAGAATTTTTTTTAACCCATTTTGCCACCTTGAAAAGGAAAAAAAAAACTTTGCACGCTCTCTACAAGGTTTCCGCCTAGAGTTTTTCCAAAAGGGTAATTATATGTTTTATTTTTTAATTTTTATTTTAATAATGGTAGTGTCTGAGTCAGCTTGCCCGCACCTCGACTAATCATCAGGTATCCGCTAACTCCCACTAGAACAGGTAGGGGTTAACTAGGTTTACTAATGTCTAGAAAATGGAAAGAAATCACTCAACGGTTTTTGCCTTCGCTAAGATTTGAACCTTGGTCTCCCATGGTTCATTGTAGCTGCATTGACTACTAGGTGACACCCTTGGGGGCAACATGAGGTTTTATATGTTTTAATACTGCATCTGCTCTTGTTTTCAATGGGTTGCATTGCAATTTGAGGGTTTAATTAGCTTCAGCTTATGTCCTGAGATGTTCATCTTAAATTACTTGCACAAGGCCTTCTCCACTGAGGACTTATCTACGCATCTTTTCGAAGTGAGTTTCAAGATGAAGCTGACCTATTGTACACTTCCCTACGATGAGGATGATGATGTACAAGAACCTGAGGCAGGGAGTACAGAATCTGGTGGGAGTCCCAAAAGCAATCATCACAATAAATCACAGTGGGATGATGATTGTCCTTGGAGTGAATGGTACTCGTCAGAGGACCCAGTAAGAGGTAATTATATCGCTGAGGATGCTAATAGTTGTATGAGTTTTATTTCCTAGCGCTGGATCTGGTGGCAATGGAACGAGTACCATGAAACCATGTTTACATGATTGATCTCAGGTCCTGTTTTAATTTCTCATATTTGGGTGTAAGGGTCATTGTTCTTAATTCCTAAATTGGGACTATGGAAGCACATTGAATTGACAAAATGAAAATGCATCAACATCAACATCAACAGACCCAGTAAAATCCCACTAGTGGGGTCTGGGGAGAGTAGAGTGTACGCAGAGGTTACCCCTACCCCGAAAAGGGTAGAGAGACTGTTTCCAGGAGACTCTCGGCTCAACAAGAGAGACAATAATATCAGAAAAGAAACAAAAGAAATGGCATGTAACAACAAAAGATGCCAGAAAGAAAATAACAACAACGGATAAGGGAAAGGACAATAACACAACACTATGCAACCAACCATGTGAACACATCATAGACTGCTAACAAACCTAAACAAAACTCTATTAGTCTACCCGGTACAAAGAGGGAAGAACTCTCGACTATCCCCTAGCCCACCACCCTAATGCTCGACCTCTACATGTTCCTATCAAGAGCCATGTCCTCGGAAATTTGAAGCCGCGCCATGTCTTGCCTGATCACCTCGCCCCAATACTTCTTTGGCCGCCTCTGCCTCTTCTCGTACCCGCCAAAGTCAACCGCTCACACTTCCTAACCGGTGCATCTAGGCTTTTCCTCCGCACGTGTCCGAACATCTAAGCCGCGCTTCCCGCATCTTGTCTTCCATGGGAGCCACACCCACCTCTCCCGAATAGCTTCATTCCTAATCTTATCCAGCCTAGTGCGCCCACACATCCGTCTCAACATCCTCATTTCTGCTACTTTCATCTTCTGGATATGTGAATTCTTGACTGGCCAACACTCAGCTCCATACAACATGGCTGGTCTAACCACCGCTCTATAGAATTTACCTTTGAGCTTCGGTGGCACATTCTTGTCACACAAAACTCCTGACGCTCACCTCCATTTCATCCACCCTACCCCAATACGGTGCGTAACATCCCCGTCGATCTCCCCATCTCCCTGGATAATTGACCCCAAGTACTTAAAACTTTCTCTCTTGAGGATGACCTCTGAGTCAAGCCTGACTTCCACATCCGCTTCCCCCGTCACGTCGCTGAACTTCCATTCCACATATTCCGTCTTAGTTCTACTTAACTTGAAACCTTTAGACTCCGGGGCCTGCCTCCATACCTCCAGTCTCCCATTAACGTCGCCTCGCGTCTCATCAATCAGAACTATATCATCAGCGAGCAACATACACCATGGCACCTCTCCTTGGATATGGTGTGTCAGTGCGTCCATCGCCAGAGCAAATAAGAACGGGCTGAGCACCGATCCTTGGTGTAACCCAATAACAACCGGGAAAGGCTCCGAGTCACCTCCTACAGTCCTAACCCGAGTCATAACTCCATCATACATATCCTTTATCACCCTAATGTAAGCCACCGACACACCTTTCACCTCCAGGCACCTTCAAAGGACGTCTCTAGGGACCTTGTCATACGCCTTCTCTAGGTCAATAAACACCATATGCAAATCCCTCTTCCTATCCCTGTATAGTTCCACCAACCTCCTGATAAGGTGGATAGCTTCCATGGTAGAACGACCCGGCATGAACTCGAACTGGTTTTCCGATATAGACACCGCCCTTCTTATCCTCCCTTCCACCACCCTCTCCCAAACTTTCATGGTATGACTTAGTAACTTGATACCCCTATAGTTGTTACAGTTCTGGATATCCCCTTTGTTCTTGTACACCGGAACCATTGTACTCCACCGCCACTCATCAGGCATCCTCTTTGTCCTGAAGATACCATTAAACAACTCAGTCAGCCACTCCAAGCCTGCTCTACCCGCATATCTCAAAAACTCTACTGGAATCTCATCTGGTCCGGTCGCTTTGCCCCGACTCATCTTACCCATCGCACCCACGACCTCCTCAACCTTAATGCGCCTACAATACCTAAAGTCTCGGTGACTCTCTGAGTGCCCCAAATGCCCTAACACGATGTTTCCATTCCCCTCTTCGTTCAGAAGTTTATGAAAGTACGATTGCAATCTTTGCCTAATCTAGGCCTCTTCCATCAATATTCGACCATCAATATTTGACAAAATGAAAATGCATAGGTTGTTAACTTTTCTAATTGTGGAAAGCCTTTAAGGCAATACTATCATGATCTTTTGGAACCTTGACATGGAAGTATGGAACGAATCTATTACGCTATAAATGGGAACACTTTGTTTTAAGGAGTATTATTTTTCTAATTCATTCTTCTCTATCCAATTACTTTTTGTCATATATATCCTTTTGCTATTATTTCTTTATTATGTGGTTATGATGCAGGGTTTGAGTTGATTGCGGTGTGGTCTGAGAAAGCATTTGAAAGTTCACTTGATATGGCTGAGTTGGAAAATGCTTCACCTCTTGAAGCTGATGACTGGTTGATATCTCCATGTTTGTCTGAGACTCTGTAAGAGAAACTCTAAGTGAATTATATTGGTAGTTTGTCATTTAGCATGTCTTCAGATATGTTCTGTTAAGATTGTTGTTTGTTTAGGTGCATGCGATAATAGAATATGTCACCTAGAGCATAGATTGCTTCGTTTCATGGCACGTCAAGAGTTCGGGTATGCTATCTAACCTAAAATGTCACTAGGGGCAGCTTCTTTAGGCACACTTTGAAAATCTCATACAAATAATAATTTCTTTTTAAGATAGCGAATATTTGAAAGGCTTAAAATAGCAGATATTTATAAAATCTTAGGGGAAATTTTCTTACATAAAATGGATTTGGAAAAGGGAAGAAGCTACTAATGGTATAACAGAATGATAATAATTTGTATAGCTAATTTTATCATTCCAAATAGGCTACCGTATCATTACTATCATGTCCAAAATGCGGATCACGATTTGCTTTAGCTAGGCATTTGAAATAAAGACTTAAGTATCATTGAAACACAAACAACATTGTCAAAGTTGTTGATTAGCATGATTCCAGGAGACTTGATTAGGAGTGTTGATTCGCATAATTTCAGGAGATTTGATTATATTTAGGAAGTTAATTTTATTATGATATTATTTGAGAGCTGGATTTTATAGATTTATTTTATTTCCTTAATTAGCAATAGGAGCTTTGTATAAATCCCCTTGCTCATGGGATGTAAACATACACAGAAATACAAGAAGCCTTTTCTTCTCAAAATCTACATGGTATCAGAATATTGCTGCCTTTTTGGGGTGAGTTATCTCCCTCGCAACACTAGGGTTCCGTTTCTATCAAAGACGTTGAGTTTTCTTTCTCTTGTTGGCCGTCCGCGATACAAACTCCTGATTTACTTCTGATTGGGCTGAAATATGGAGACATTCAAGGAGACGATTTCTAGAGAAATCTTGTCTTCGAATGAATTTCAGCTACTCCGTCGCCTCCTAACCAAACTTGACTCCGCTAATATTGCCACATCCAATCATGTGCAATCAGGTACCGCCTTTGCTGCTCACCTTACTTCTTGGATTGTCGATTTGGGTGCAAATAGACACATGACATGCTCTTCTAAAGGCATTCAAAACTATTCTCTGTGTCCCAAAGGAGATAATTGTGAGAAAGCACGGGAGAAAATATTATTGATATTATTGACATATACAATGAGCCATATATATATACATAACATGTCCTACTCCTAATACGATTAGGGTTATTTACTCCTATTTATATAACTATTCTAACACTCCCCCTCAAGCTGGTGCATATAAATCATATGTACCGAGCTTGTTAATACGAGGACCAGTGAGGGACTTGGTGAAAATATCTGCAAGCTGATCATTCGATTTCACAAACTTTGTAGCAATATCTCCCGAAAGTATCTTTTCTTTGACAAAGTGACAGTCAATCTCAATGTGTTTAGTTCTCTCATGGAACACTGGATTTGACGCAATATCAAGAGCAGCTTGATTATCACACACAAGTCCCATATGACTAATCTCACCAAATTTCAACTCCTTGAGCAACTGTTTGATCCAAATTAGCTCACATGTCGCCATAGCCATTGCTCGATATTCTGCTTCTGCACTAGACCGAGCAACCACATTCTGTTTCTTGCTCTTCCAGGACACCAAATTTCCTCCTACTAAGACACAATATCCAGACGTAGAACGTCTATCAGAAGGTGATCCTGCCCAATCAACATCTGAGTATCCAACGATCTGCTCATGGCCTCGATCCTCAAACAATAAACCTTTGCCTGGAGCTGATTTTATATACCGAAGAATGCGAACAGATGCATCCCAATGACTATCACACGGAGAATCCATAAATTGACTCACAACACTCACAGAAAAGGAAATGCCAGGTCTTGTCACTGTAAGGTAATTTAATTTACCAACCAACCGTCTATATCTTGCAGGATCGCTAAGAGGCTCCCCCTGTCCTGGCAGAAGTTTAGAATTCGGATCCATCGGAGTGTCAACAGGTCTACAACCTGTCATTCCTGTCTCCTCAAGAATATCTAAGGCATACTTTCGTTGTGAGATCACAATACCTGAGCTAGACTGAGCGACCTCAATACCCAGAAAATACTTTAGTTTGCCCAGATCCTTAGTCTGAAAGTGTTGAAAGAGATGTTGCTTCAATTTAGTAATACCATCCTGGTCATTGCCAGTAATAACAATGTCGTCAACATAGACCACCAGATAAATACAGAGACTCGAAGTAGAATGCCGATAGAATACAGAGTGATCAGCTTCACTTCGAATCATGCCAAATTCCTGGATAACTGTGCTGAACTTACCAAACCAGGCTCGAGGAGACTGCTTTAGACCATAAAGTGACCGGCGCAAGCGACATACAAGGCCACGAGACTCCCCCTGAGCAACAAACCCAGGTGGTTGCTCCATATAAACTTCATCCTCAAGGTCACAGTGTAAAAATGCATTCTTAATGTCCAGCTGATAGAGGGGCCAATGGCGAACAGCAGCCATGGATAGAAAAAGGCGGACTGATGCTATCTTAGCCACGGGAGAGAAGGTATCACTGTAATCGAGCCCAAATATCTGAGTATATCCCTTGGCAACAAGACGAGCCTTAAGACGATCAACCTTACCATCCGGACCAACCTTGACTGCATACACCCAACGACAACCACAGTAGATTTACCTGAAGGAAGAGGGACGAGCTCCCAAGTACCACTCGTATGTAAAGCAGACATCTCGTCAATCATAGCCTGTCGCCATCCTGGATGAGACAATGCTTCACCTGTAGACTTAGGGATGGAAACAGAGGACAAAGAAGATAGAAAAGCATAATAGGGTGATGACAAACAATGATAACTCAAACCGACATAATGAGGATTAGGATTAAGGGTGGTCCGTATACCTTTCCGAAGTGCAATCGGTGTACTAGGAAGAGACAAGTCCACAGCAGGAGCAGGGTCAGGTGCAGGACGTGAATTAGCTGGGCCTGATGCTGGGTGCGAACGACAATGATATGTCAAAAGTGGTGTTCCTGTGGCAGGGGGTCTAGGAGGAGCCACACTAGATTCCTCAACGGTTGGAATGGGTAAGACTTCTGTAGCGGAAGGTGAAGGAGTCTACTATAGCTCCTCCTTCACCTTCCGCCACAGAAGTCTTACACCACAAGATCGCCACAGGATACTACATAACTGAGCATCGACCTTCTCCCACAGTGTTTTGGCCTTTTCATCACCTTCGCTAGCCTTTTTTGTTAAATAATCTTGAACTCCTTGACCTTTACACCACAACTCGACAGACGAAGCCCAAGCTAAGTAGTTTGAACCTCCCATTAAAGGTTCTGAGGTAATCATAACACCAGAATTGCCAGAACCCGGGTTTTTAGACCCGAAAGCATCGACTCCCAAAGACATCGTTGGATTATCACCAAATAACAGAAAGAATCAACTGACAATTCGCTGAAACAGATGAAGGAAACACTGTGTTTGCCGGAAAAGTACTGTAGCTGCCGGAAAAAAATCAGTGTAGTCGCCGGAAAAACTCAAAGTGGTCGGAATCAAAAAATAAAATTATGGATAGGCTCGGAATTTGAGGGCGACCAGGCTGTCCTGAAGAAGCTCGGCCAAAAAATGGCCGGAAGAAGCCTCACGCGCCGGCGCGTGAAGTCGGAGATCGCCGGAAAATATTCTCCCGGCGGCGCGTGAGGGCGCGTGGAAGGGTTCCTGCCGGAGAATTTTTTTGGGGTTTGGTCGCCGGAAGATGATCTATCTCGTGGTGATGTTGGTTTTTGCACAACACCAACGGATATGGACTTTTCCTGCGGACAGTACTGTTTTGCCGGAAAAAGGCAATTTTTTTTTTCCTTCCCGGAGTCGCTGGAATTTATGCACAGCGATAAATATCTCACGATTGCTCTGATACCATGTGAGAAAGCACGGGAGAAAATATTATTGATATTATTGACATATACAATGAGCCATATATATATACATAACATGTCCCATTCCTAATACGATTAGGGTTATTTACTCCTATTTACATAACTATTCTAACAATAATGTTAAAATAGTCAATGGTTCTTTAACACGTATATCTGAAACAAGTTCTGTCATTTATACTCCTAATATTAAACTATCATCTGTGCTCTATGTGCCTGAGTTCCCTGTCAATCTTTTATTTGTTAGTGTCATCACCAAATCTCTAAACTGTAAAATCGAGTTCTTTCCCGATCATTGTATTTTTTAGGATCTTCAAACAGGGAAAATGATTGGCAGTGGTAGATTGCGTGATGACTTGTATATATTAGATGGGATTCAAAACTCTGGTCAAGCCTTTTTTCGGGAAAGTAAGGATGTCAACCAAGAAATAATACAGCGGCATAGATAGTTAGGGCACTCATCATTCTTTGTTTTGAAGAAGTTATATCTCGATTTGTTTTTAAGGACTCGATTTGAATCTTTGTTCTGTGATGCGTGTGAATATGCCAAGCATACTAGAAACTCTTATCCTGTGAGTGATAATAGAAGCACAACTTCGTTTATGACTATTTATTCTGATGTATAGGGTCCTACCCAAACTGTTTCTTTGTTTGATAGTCGATGATTTGTTACTTTCATTGATTGCTACACTAGGATGACTTGGGTATATTTGTTAAAAGCCAAAAGTTTTTTTTTGTTTTAAGTCATTTCATAAGATGATTTGTACTCAGTTTGATGCCAAAAGTATCTTGAGAACTAACAATGGCAGCGAATACATGGATAAAAGATTTGGTTCTTATTTGGAGTCCAATGGGATAGTCCATCAGACTAGTTGTCCTTACACTAGTGCACAAAATGGGGCCGCTGAAAGAAAAAATAGGCATCTGTTAGAAATAGCAAGATCTCTTATGTTCACCATGCATCTACCAAAACCTTATTCGGGAATGCTATTCTAGCGACTGCCTATCTTATCAACAGAGTGCCACTTAAACCCCTCAATTTTCAAAGTCCTCTGGAAACTTTAAAGGGT